AAAAAAAAAAAAAAAAAAATCAAAGTCTGAGCGCTAGGGGAGCCCGCGCAGAGGGTCAGGGACTACAGCGCCCAGAATCCCTCGCGGCTCCACCTCCCCGGCGCCAGTCTCCTAGGCGACCAAGTTAAACAAGATGGCGGCCTCCTGGAAAGATCCCCCGGGTTCGAGCTTGCTCTCTCTCAAGAGACGTTTGGGCACTTTATCAACTGGAGGCCCATCGAGACCGTTAGGCTCAGAAAAAGGACTTCAGTCTTGTTGGTCTCAATTTTCCACGGGACAGAGGCCGAAAGGTACTTTCAACAGAGCCTCCTCTCACTTGCTCCAGCAGCTCATTCGCCGCCCTCCGGACGAAGAACACGGAGAAGGGGAATCCGGGGAGTCCTCAAAGTCCGAAATGCTGGATTTGGAGGTGGGCCTTTCCCCCTAGTCTTTTCGCTCTGGCTTTCTTCTCCAGCCCTCAGGCCTTGCTGCTTCCCCGCGGCTCCCTAACGCGCCCCACACCCGCTGCAGCTGAGCTCACTTAGGTTCGAGCGCCTCTTCAGATGGCTTCAAGGCCACCCTTTTTACTTCCTTTTTCTGTCAGCACATTACTCTTACCCGTTTCTTTATTCCCTGTTTTAAATATCTCAAAATATCTTTCCTTTTCATGAACACATTTGGCTACTTATGAATAGTTACCCAGCATCGTTATGAAAAGTTATAGTTGTTTTTTTTTTTTTTTTTTTTTTGGTACCGGGGATCGAACTCGGGTCCTTGTGCTTACGCAGCAGGCGGCGAAACCACTGAGCTAGATCCCCAGCCCAAGAATAGAAGTTTTGACTATAGCATTTTCATAATTACACCTTGACAAAATTATTACTTTATTGTGAATAGACAGAGTTCATCTTTGGCATCCCCAAGATCTGTTTCCTAGAACTGTGAAGTACTAGAACACTGTACCAAATCTGGGGTCCATTCATCTTGGGGTGCTCCTTCAAAGAGTATGTGACTTAAAAGTTTTATATGTATATTACTTCTGCCAGGGGTATGTGCTTTATGTAAACAATACATACACATACACACAGACACAAGAAGGAGCCATAGAATGTTCAGCCAGTTCCCTGTAGGAGTATTTTAATTATTTATTTTTTGTATATCCTTTTATTGGTACATTTTAGGTGTACAATATAATGACATTCATCATTGGAGATATGCACCTTTACATACTCTCTTGGTTCTTATTTTTTCCCATTTCCCCTGCCCTCCCTTCAACCCCTCCATCCTTCCCTATTTACAAAGACTTTGTTTCCATTTTTTCATTTTCTCATATTAGTTCCATTCCTTTCTTTCCTTTCCCATACCCCTCCCCCTTCCCCTTGCCCTTTGCCCCTTTTCTTCCTATCACACATTATCTATTATACCTTTTAGTCCTTATTTACACTTTCAGTTTCTCACACTAGAGAAACTATTCAGTATTTACACGTGTGTCTTGTTTATTTCACTTAAGAATATCACCTCCATGCGCATCCATTTAGCAATAAATGCCTCTAATTTCTCGGTTTTGATGGCTGAGTAGTACTTGTAGGAGTATTTTAGAATGGGAAGTGTTCCGAACATTCCCACTTGTATTACTTGGGGTAGTGAAATTGTTTTTCATATTAATACTGATTCTCTGTTTTCTACTATACTTCCTTTAGCCACCACTCATTTATTCCACTTATTTTTACACTTACTATCTTCCTGTTTCTTTCTTACCCGGCCATCTTGTTCCTTTCTACTTCTCATCACATTACTTTCTTCTCTTGGTTTCTAATAAAATGTTTGCTTTCTTTCAAAAACATGTATTGTTTTGTTTCTTTTCAGTACTGTTAGGTTTTCCTCCTTGTTTTGGCTACCACATTCATAGTATAAATTGTTTATAGTATAGATTCTTTTCAGAAGTAGATATAATAAGGGGAAATAGAATGTTTCCAATATCTCCATTCTGTGTATTCTTCTGACTTTCTCTTTGAGCATCTTTCTATCTTAATCACCTTTCTTCCTTGAAGTCAAACATGTTTATTTTTGTTATGCCTGTTTACCTTCACAAACTCCTTTCCTGTTTTGTCTTCTTAGTCTCCCTTTTAACCTGCAAATAGTTTCTGTTATTCTGATTCTACTATTATCCATTTACACTCTTCTCTTACTTCAAGCCCTCTTTTGTGATGTCCCTTGGCTCTCTTTGAATATTTGTCTCATCTTTCATCTTGTCTTTTCTTTTTCCTCCTATCCGAGCTGCTTCCACTCTTAATTTTGCTCTAAATTGACCATTGAAAGTTATTACTTACTTTGTTGACTTAGTTTGCTGCCTTTAACAGCCATTATTGCAAAACTGTAACAGTGTTTTTGCAACTTTGAAATGTTTGTGTGGTTTCTACCAGCTTCCATCTCAGAGGAATTCACAAATGAACCACCATATACTTTATTATTCTAATTAACACATGGTCCTCAGCTATGGGGTTCATTAGTACCGTTGTTAATCTGTCTTTCAGCATGCCATTAACAACCCATAGACAGAGTTGACCTGAAGTAGTTATTTTCCTTTTTGGATTGCAGGATGTCTTTGGAAGAAGTTCATTATTTTTTTCACTTACATATAAACATTAATGTTTGTTTTGTATTTCCACATTCTTTTGGAGTTTTCATAGTATTATATGAAAAACAGTAAGTTTTAAAATGCTGAATCAACTGAACTGTTTTGAAAAGAAACACTTGGATGTTCATGTTTAATGGTTTATTTTTCATGTCTTAGTCTGGTTAAAAGTTATAATGCTGTGATGGCATAATGTTTATTGAGTATTCACAGTGCAACCAATCTCAAACTTCAGAAGCCCTTATGAGTTGAAGGGAGGCAGTATAGACTAGCTGTTCGAAGAACTGCCTACAGAAACAAGGATTTACTTTTGAGACTTGGTTTAGCCTTTTGTTAGGAAATCTTGAACAAGTTACTTAAGTTGCCTATGTTTCATCAGTAGTGGGGGGATTGTAAAAATACCTATCCCATAAGGTGAGAATTAAGTGAGATCCTGTATATAGAAAGCTTAGCATAATATTGATACTAAAACAAATATTAGCTTACATGTTTTTATCAACTAATTATATCCCACTGAGTAATTAATTTAGCCTTCATTAAGCAAACACTTATGGGATGATTGCTAAATAGGAAGCATTCTTTGACTATATACAGCCAAAATGTCTGGGCCCAAAATTTGATTCATGAAAACCAGTCTTTGCCTGTAATCAAGTGTGGAAAATAATGCCTACTCATGGGATAGTTATGGACATCGAATTTAATGAAAACCTCTATATTAAAGGTCTTAATATAGTGTCTCTTACAGAGTAGGCTCTCAAAAATTATAGGTATAATAAATCACAGGCCTAGTGATAGAAGATAAGAACATGATTGAGAACATACATGGTCCCTGCTCTCAAAAGGAGATAAAAATGTGAGTAAATCATAGCAATTCAGTATCTGTACTCTTATATCCAGAGATGTGCACAGATGACAACTCGATTGTAGGGATTAGGGGAAGTGGACTCAGTAGGGGTGGAGAGGTGAGCTGTGGGCAGGTGGATGGCAGTTTTTCCTCCTCAAGAATTATAGGTCAGAGCAGAAAGAAGCACTTGGGGTAGGGCTCTGTGCTGTTGTACTGACATAGACTTGGGTCTCTAAGCAGTATGGGACTGCTCTGATGGCCAGGTGGGGTGAGATAGGATAGCTGAGACTCTGAGAAGATTCTAGCAATATCTAGGGGAGAGTGAGAAGAGTCTGGATTAAGATAGTCACAGTGAGAATGGAAGGGAAGCTAAAGATGAAACACTTAAAATATTTAAGATGGGATACTCACTAATTAAATATTAGACATCTGGGCTGACTGTTAGGCCGATGACATGAATTGGGGGCCAGAGGGGGATAGTCTGGTCATTGTGTGCAGTAGGAATCAAGAGCAGATGGAGTTGTGCCTTAAGGAGGTGGATATAGGAAGCATATGACTGGAAATAAGTGGAGGAGTCTCAGAGTAGGAGACCTAGAGACCTTAGCAGCAGAGCCTGTTGATATCATCCAGGAAGACAAGGGAAGGGAAGGGAAGGAACCAGAACAGAAGCCCAGGGATACAGGTTTTTCACTGGCAGGCAGATGAAGAATCAGCAAAGGAAATTGGAAAGGACTGGTCAGAGGAATAGGAAAAGAAAGAAGAACTATATGGAAAGCCAAGACAAAAAGAGCCTCAGAAACATGGGAATGGGTTGAGCTGCCAGTAGGTTAAGTGGAAAGAGGACTAAGAAGTGCCCATTCACTGTGCCTTTGAAGAAGGTATGGAACTGCCAAAGCATAGGAAAGGAGGTGTGAGGGGATTGCTGTGTGGGGTCTTGCCTTGAGAATTAGGGAAGGTACTAATAGTGTGGCTCATCTCCCTGTTAGGCATCCACTTACTATGGAATGACTCCTGTCCAGAAAATGGGGGTGAATTTGAGGGTCTAGGTGGAACAAAAGACAGTGGACCTTTATTCAGAAAAGAGAGTATCTTTCCTATCTTGTGAATAGGTTGATTGGTATAGTTGCGTGAAACATTAAGATGTGGAATTTCTGTCATCAGAACATAGTAACTCATTTATTGGAAACACTTGCTATGTTGTAGGCACTGTGCTAAGAGCTTTATATACATTTTAAAAGTTCTTCCCAAAACATCAAAGGAGATATAGAGAAGGAAAGACTTTCCCTTTATCCTCCTAGCTGTGATAGTTGGGTCCATGAACTAAACCAAAAATAGGCAGATTAACATGGCAATAGGTTTACAAATTTACTAATTTTTAATATTACATGCATAGAAGCATCATAGGAAAAAAGTGAATACTCTCCATAAAGCAGTGAAATTTGAAAGCTTATATAACATGTTAAGAGGCTATTCAAGGCAGAGTAAATGTTTTTCAGGAAAGACGCATGGGCTCTTAGAAGAATAGATAGAAGATACAATAGTTCCTAACAGAGTTTTTCTGAGTGTGGTGCCAAGCTCTCTTCTCCTCTGCTGTGATAAGGATCAATCTTCTCTGGCTGATGAAACTCCCAGGGAGGGGATTTATGACAATTGAGTTCCTTTTGGAGGGTCTGTCTTTAGGTAGATAAAAGGAGTTCAGAGAAAGCTTCTTCTTCCATTTGCTGTTTTTCAAGTGCCTTTAGCTCAAAACAATCAATACACCAAAGCAACATACTTTGGGGTGTTGTGTCCAAAACTCCTTCAAAGAAAATAACATTTCCTATTTATAGATGAAGATATGCGAAGGTTTAGAGAAAACCTTAGCTCCCCAGAGTCACATATCTAAAATGGCAGAGATGAGGTTCAAACCATGCCTGCCCAGTTCCAATATAGAATTGTGCTATCTTCCATATAGACAGCATTCCTGTGATCTGTGGAAATCTTCGGGTGGGCTCTTTAAGTAGCCCAAGCCTACAATACTTACGCCCTCAGTACCAGCAGCTAGGGCAGTGTTGTTGGCTCCTGAATCAATAGAGACGGCCCAGAAAAAATATATTTTGCAGTAGTTCATATCCTCGTCGTGGCTAGGTACATAGATGTGACTGGTGTATTTTCTATTGCCACATTGATGTCAGTGTTAATGTGTTGGTCATTATAGCATTGGAGGCACCACAAACATAACACCCACATGTTATTTCTTCTGTCATTATTAAGAGAGAGCATATTGGTTGACCATTGGTTCATAGGATGTCTATATAGACTAAGGGCCAATCTCCTTATGGAAATGACTAGTACCCTTTTAATAAGTCTTGTAAATTACATATATCCAGAAAAAATAGCCAAAAAGAAGTGAACTGAGGACCTGTTTTCTTCATCAACAATACTAGATTTAGAGAATTAATTGCCTTCAGTTGATGTAACCATCCTTTGGGGTGTGGGAAAGCATTAAAGATAGAATTGCCCAGGGGTCAGGTATATTTGGGGTTTTATTTGATCTCTATCAGACTTACTGCCTCTACGAGGCAAGGTAACCTCTAAACCGTAGTTTCTTCATCTTTAAAATGGACATAAGAATACCTACATGAGGGTTGAAAATGGGTTAACAAGTTGATCCTTAAGAATTCTTCCATAGTGGGCCAAGGATTTAGCTTAGTGGTTCTGCTACCTGCCTCGCAAGAGCAAGGTTCCGAGTTCAATCCCTGGTACCAAAAGAAAAAAAAAAAAAAGAGAGAGAGAATTCTTCCACGGTGCTTGGAATGGGGAATTGATCAATGATAAAAATCACCATTGATACTAATGCTTCAACAAGTACTGTATTCACTCAACTTTGAATAACTAATACAAGTGACCACATGAAAAATCAAGGACAGTAAAAACAGTAATTATATAGATATTATTAAATTATATATAGTATTATGTGTCCTCAACATAGAATTTTCTTTGGAAATGGTAAATTGTATACATTTGCTCAGGGTATAAATATACATATATTCCTAAATAAGTGCTGGATATGACAGGTTAGTTTTTTTTTTCCTAATGGTAGTCCTTTCTTTGTCTACCACTATTTTTTTTTTTTCAGGAGGAATTTGATGGGGTCCTGACAGAAGAGGCTGTGGCCCAGGCACTCCATGAATTGGGGCGCTCGGGCTCTGGGACTGAGCAGGTCTACCTCCACTTAACTTTATCAGTGAGTATAACAGGCTCATCTTAGGCTGACTACCTCTTGACACTGCCTAGACCATGGCCATTTTTGTTGGTACTCATAGCTTTTGTGATAGCAGCAAAATCTCAAGGGCTTGCATTTGATGGAAACTGATGATAAGAGATATTTATGTAAATAGTGGACTTCAAAGACTCTGGCCAGTCCAGTAATCAGGCCCCCAAATTCCTTTGTTCCCATTCTCTTCACACTCTAGTTCTTTCACCTTAAGTAGTCTATATTATAGTAATCAGTGCTTTTTCCCAGGAGGTTGAATTTGATTCTGTACAACCAACCAAAAACCTTAAGAATTTTTTCTCTGATCAGTGAAAGAAACACTGAAATTTATATCTGAATCCAAGGGAACCAAGTATTTTGGTATTGACTTTCCCCTTAAGTATGTCAAGAAATAAGTAGCTTTGAGCTATATTTTCTTTCTAATAGATACCTCTCATTGGAGAAAAAAAATCTATTGTTATTCATCAGTTTTCAAGATTTTATTCTGAGTCTTAGAATGACACAAAATCTTAGCTCCAAGTTTATCCTAAAAAAGCACTCTTCAGAGTTCAGCTTCTTTCCTTGTGTCGTTACAGTCCTAGCAAAGTAATTTAACTCTTTTTGCTCCCTCAAATTGTAAAATGTTAAATTCTCGGAGATCTGCAAACATAGATACATGTGTTAAAAAAAAAAAAGCACACTGATAGGCATGGTAGCGTGGACCTGTAATCTCAGCACTTGGGAGGGTGAGATAGGAGGACTGCCTCGTGTTTGAGGTCAGGTTGGGTTACATAGTGATTTCAAGGTCAGCCTGGAATCCGTACTGAGACCTTGTCTCAGAAAACCAAAGAAAAAGAAAAAGAAAAAAAGCACACAAACTTTATTGTAGCACCATGTTTGGTTTCATGATTGGTAAATTCATTGCAAGACTGTCTTGGGTTTAATTGGTAAGCTATTCAAGGAATATTAAGCTGTTTTCACCTGTGTCATGATTTGTCCTTTGAAGTCAGCACATTAAGGTTATAATCTTTTACTCCTATCACTTTATATAACATTATTCACTGATGACTCAGCCAGTCAGACAATAACGTACAGGGAATACCCTATGCAAATGCACTCTGTTAGCTATCAGAATGATATAATTCCAGCAGCCTATACAGTCCCACACAAGTCCCTTTCAATCAATATTCTACTTATGCATGTAGTGCCATGCCTTAAATTGATCTACCAAGAAAGCAATCCTTTGAATCTTATTCCAGCTGAAGGGACTGAAGCTTGACTTACTTTGCCACTGACCTCATTACATTTGAGATATTACATGTTGAACTACCTGGCCTTATTAACCTGTCTTACTGAATACACTTTCTGGTTCAATGACACCCCCCCTTTTATCTTACTTACATTATACATTTTTAAATTTCTTCTTATTGTGTAGATATCTTTTCTCCTTCTAAGTCATACATTTCTTAAGGGCACAATATATCTCTATTTTATCATTTTATTTTGAACCATGCCAAGCTCAGTGATGTCTAGTACATAGTATATATTCAGTATTGATTACTCTTTTAGCAGTCTACATTAAACAATCATCATTTTCCTATATGAGAGCTTACTTACAATGATTTTTCTTTGGTGGTATTTTCCTGATCCTGACAATATGACATATATAGTCATATAATTCTTTGTTCCTCAGGATCAAATTCCTTTTTAATCCCCACTTGAAGTTCCCTAGAAGCAGAGTTTCCAGGGGTGAATTTTTAACAAGAGCTGAGGAAACTTGGATATTGCTTCTAATTGCTCTGTGACTTGGGGCAACTTATGTGCCTCTCTGTCCTCATAGTCCTCATTTCTAAACTGAGAATAATCTGCCCTATACATCTCATAGGTGTGTTTCATCAGCTGAGATTATTGTGAAAGAGCTTTGAAAATGAGCTCTTGTGAAAGTGTAAGTAGTATTATTAATGATCTCCTGATTAGGTGTGAACTCTCTTAAAACTTCATTTAAATTCTAGGCATTGGCTTTTTTTTCTACTAGATAAAAGCTTTGTCTTTATTGCTATTTTGTGTGTTTTTTAAAATGTAAAACTGTTCTGAAGGTCTTCATGAACACTGCTTTAATTTGCCTTTTCATGTTGTATTCATTCTTGCTAACAATACTAATTTTCTAAGCTATTATTTTCTTCAGAGGAATTTTTTTTAATGGGGTCTGTAGTCTGAGATCCTATTAGTAATAGGTTTCAGATTTTGTTCTCTTGCTTCTTCTGTACTCTTGAAAGAAATTCTGGATTTCTTTCCATTAACAATTATTTCCAGATATTGTAAGGCTGGCTACTAATCTGCTGACCCAATATTAAAGTCTTTTATTTTCTCAGGGTTGTGATTTAACCAACATTAGCATTTTGTGTGGATATGTTCACCTGCAGAAGTTGGATCTTTCGGTGAATAAAATTGAAGGTATGTAATTGTCATCCTAGCAGATTGTGCACTGATTTCAAAATTTAAACGTTGCAGTATATAATGCAGTTTAATAAGACCAAACTTGATATGAGTGGTTTGAAGATTAGTTTTCCTATTGATCCTTTCCTTTCCATGCTCCCTCTCCCTCAGAAGGCACCAGTGACCGGATGAGTGAGGAAAAGGCACAGGTCTGCACTGCGATGATATGGCTGATATGCACTCAAGGATAATTAAAAACAGGGGATGGGATGTTTGCCTTAGGTTTCCTTTTTAAGAGATCAATTGTTATCTCTAAAATACTTCCTGAATGATGATTCCTTTTTCTTTCTATTTGTTATTTAATGCAGACAAATGTCTTTTTTCTTTAGTGAATTCTTTTTTTTTTTTTTTTTGGTACTAGGGGTTGAACTCGGGACCTTGCGCTTGTGAGGCAGGTGCTAGAACCACTGAGCTAAATCCCCAGCCCTCTATAGTGAATTCTTTATTTTGCTTTTATATTTACATTGTAATCCTGTCTAGCTATTTCTATCCTTGTTTGAGCCCCAAGGGTTCACAAATTTATTTTTCTCTCTTTTTGCTGTCTCTACATGTTTAGTTGATTCTCTCAACCCAACTCTGCCATCTGTAGTTCTATATATTTGTTATAACACCTTGCTCACATTTAATAATTGTCACATTTTCTTCAAAGCTTGATTCCTGTTGCTGTATCTGGGTTTACTTGTTTTTAACAGTGTACATTTTTTTTCTTCAGACTTCTAGAGAAGAAAGCAAGTCATTATTTCTGACCTGCTTTCTCTACTGATTAAATCAGATGTTCCTAATAAAGATCTTCCGTTTCATTCTCTGATCCCTTCCCATATGACTCTAATAGTCAGAATTTACTCTTCAATAGCTAAGAAATAGTCTAAAGCTAGTTTTGAAAATTACAAACAGTTGCATAGAGAGAATATTGGAGTGTGTACTGAACTTCAGCAGTTAGCAGCTGATGGGCAGTCTTGTTTCATCTACATCTCCCTGTCCCTCTACCCTAAGGTAATTTTAAAGCGCATCCCAGACTATGATGATCATATATATCATCAGAAAGACTTTTTTTCATATTATTGGCAGGAGTGCTCCACCCACCCCACACTTCCAAGGTTGATTTAGTGGATGAGAGATTGCAGAGTGGTGGGTGACTTTGGCAGTGCTTGGTCCTCACATCGAAGAAAGTGACTTTCTTCATGTCCATGCCACATGGGCAAGGAGTCCCCAGTTGCAACAGAAGCTTTCCTTTTCACCCAGATCAGTCTCCAGTAATCCTGGGTGGCCCATTTTATTCATTTAGCAATCTTTGAGAGCCTGCGATGAGTTGGGTACAGCATATTTTTCTTTTGTGATGGCAGCCTTCCTGATTTCTGATGATGTAGACCAAATTTCAGCTTGCAGCAGAATCATCTTGGGAGGGTATGTTAAAATAGATATCCAAACTCCACCCTCAGTGTATCTGATTCAGTAAATTTGGGATGTGCCTGAAAATTTGCGTTTAGAATAAGTTCCTGGTTGAGGCTGATGATGCTGATCCAGACTTCACTTTGAGAACCACTAATATAGATATGAGGTGCTCCTGCCATCTGGTGGACAAGGAAGTCACTGCACCTAGTAGGGACTTCACAGCCTGCTGGAGTTTGGGGCCTGGCCACTCAGACCGGGGATTATTTGTCATGGCGATTTTCAAAAACATTGGCTCTCTACAAAGTGTTGAAATGTATTCAACATCACTTTGTCTCTAAGTACTACGTAGCTGCTGCTTCTGCTATCAGACAGATGTCCAGAGTATGACAAAAGGATTGGCTACAACTAGGTTTGGGAAGTGGCAGTTGATAGAGCAGAGCCCACTCCCAACACACATACAGCCAAGCTCAGAATGGACAGATAGACACAAATCATAAAGCATTTACTTTCTCTCTTAGGCAGCTCCTTGATTGGCTCATTCATTTGTGCCAAAGTGGCAGTGTCCCAATTTATTGTCTCATCTAGAGCCATTTGCATTTAGGATGTGTCTTATTTCAGAAGAATGAAGTAGAAATTGGTGGGGATTTTGTAGCTTTAAGGTCCATTGAGAAGGAAAGGGGCCAGAGGCCTTCTCGAACTGCCTTCCCACGTGCTCCAAGGCAGGGTCCCCACAGCCCTGGCACCCTAACCTCTCCTAGTCTGCATGTGGGAGGTAGAAGCGCATTGCTTGGCTTTGAATGTGAGGCTGCTTTCTCCTACTAGAAGCCATCCCTCTGAGCAGTTGTAATGGCCCTGTCCACACTTTAGAGTCTGAGAACTGGGAAGACGCTATTATTGTTATTATTTGCAGGTGGTGAAGTGAATTGCTGGTAGTGACAAGGCTATAACCCTTATTATCTGATTATTCCTGATCTCTCCCTTCTCAGAGTGCCTCTGCTGTAAAGCAGCAGAGAAAGAAAAAACAGTGCTTCACAGCTTTTGTGTTTTATATGTAATTCCATTTGGAATCTATTAGCACATAGTCCTTTTAGTATTTAAATTTCAGAATATTTGCTAGGGATAAAATGCAAAATTCAGATGTAATTTCAAACCAATCCAGAGTCAAATCAGAATAATAGCAACGATTTAAATCATGTAAAATAATTAATGAGATTTAGGATTAATTCCAACTAAAACAAAATTGAATTTACAACAAAGAGGGTTCTCTAATTGTGGCATTTCCAATCTTCTAAAAAGACCTAATTCAGTTATTTAGGGGCTAATTATCAAGAGGATTATCTAAGGCTTCAGTTTCTCATCCTTTCCTTGAAGGCTGGTAATTTTTGAAATATTTAGGCATTAGCAGCTTGTGGGAGGGTGAGCAGGGACGTGTGAGGGATCTCAGCCATTTATTACTTGGACATCCCAGAAATCAGGGGACAGAAGAGGTGGGCAGGCTCCAGGTAAGAACTAGAGGTATTTGCACATTTTTGTAAAAAATATTTCACACATTCCTGCTATCATTTATTTTACTCATCTAGAATACTTAAGATGTACTTGCAACTGGTGGAATTTAAAAATATTCTGATGCAGCATATGCTGTTTTTAATGACTTTTTCAAGTTATTTTATTGACTTAGCTGTTCTGTGTCTATTTCCCCCTCAGATTTGTCTTGTGTTAGTTGCATGCCTTATCTTCTAGAACTTAATGCTTCTCAAAATAAGTTGACTACGTTCTTCAATTTCAAGCCACCCAAAAATCTCAAGGTACATTTTATTAGTACTAATTACATATGGTAAGTGGTTTTCAACGTACATTAAATAAGCAAAATAGAGCTAAAGTGGAAAATTGACAGAGAGTACTTTGTAGGGTAAATCGTGTGTTTCAATCAGAATAAAAAAGAAGGAAAAGGGAGATGGTCTGTCACCTCAGCCTTTTTATTTTTTATTTATTTATTTTTTTGGTACCTGGGATTGAAGTGAGGTCCTTGCGCTTGCGCAGCAGGTGGTGAAACCACTGAGCTAAATCCCCGGCCCCACCTCAGCCTTTTTAAACAGTAGTCATTATTACATTTCGCTTGCCAGAGCAGTTTTATCTGAAACATTTGTAAAAATTTCTGAGAGGTTCAAACTTTGTTCTCTTAATTATCCAACCTTTATTTTTAAAAAATAAAATAATGCTTTCGGATCTCCTTTCCTGCTTCTCTGCATTTGCTTTGGTACTTCTGAAGCAAAAATGAACTTCTTGTGGACAGTGGTTTGGGGAACGGTTTGCTGCCCTAGAGAACTCTGCTGTATTCCGCCTCCAGGTGCACCTGGGTCCCCCATGGTTCTTGTGAAACCTAGAGTCCCACCTGGCAGGTTGGGGATGGGGCCAGAGACTGTGATTTCTTCCAGCCTTCCTGGTAATATCCTGGCTACTGGCCCATACTTAAGTAGAGATCATGGAGGGCAGGTCCCCCATTTTTTTCTGCACATTGGAATCACCTGGGAGAATTTTAAGATCTACTGTGGCCTGGATTCCATGCTAGAGACTCTGACTGATGTGGTACAAAGTAAGGACTGGGCTTTGGATGTGTTAGATGTCCCCAAGGTGATTTTAATATGTATGCTGACAAATTTAAGATTCATTGCCGCAGAGCTTGTGATGAGTATTGTTCTGTTGGATTCAAATATTTAATAAAATGGTGGGTGTTTTTGGAACTGGGGATCAAACTTGGGACCTTGCATTTGCGAGGCAGGCGTCGGGACCACTGAGCTAAATCCCTGGCCCTTTTTTGTGTGTTTTTGAGACAAGGTGTCCCTATGTAGTTTAGGCTGGCCTAGAACTCACTATGCAGCCCAGGCTGGCCTTGAACTCACAGAGATCCTCCTGCCTCAGCCTCCTAAGTGCTGGGATCATAGGCATGTGCCATCATGCTTAATAAAATGTATTCTAAGGAATGGACATCAATTACTATCTTTTATTATCCATTTTATGTACAAAATCAGTTAACTTAGATACGAATTATTCCTCTGAAGTCTGCACAAATATGAAAATCTATTTGAAATCAAGAATTTGATATTTCTCTTCTGGGAGTGATAATACCTTTTTTCCCTATTGTTTCACGTCATTCCATTTTTATTAGTATTGTGGTTTTTCTTTTGAAATTATAGTTATTCCCAGGGTGACAGTGATATGCCTTTGTCTAAATAAGCCACATTTGGGGCCTTTTTGTGCTCAGTGTGGGACTGCATAGTCTCAAAGTTGTCAAGAATTATATTTGCAGAGCCATTTTAGTTTTCCTCTGCTGTCCTATTTACCTCAGTCTGAGCCCCAGGGAAATCAGTCATGGTAACAGCATGATTCCTCCCCTGGGAAACTTTCCTTGCAGTTTCTTCCAATCACCTCTGCCTTTCCTTCTCCCCAAAAGACCCCACAAGCCGACAAAAAACAAATCATATGCTACATCTTTGAGGTTACAACTTCTTGGAGAATTACCAGCAAATACATTGGTAACTTTTGAGAAGTATTTGCCCTGGAATGAGGTGTTTCAACTTTATGCAAACTCTAGAAGGACCTGAGAAGAAATCAGTGAGGCTTTCTGGTGTTTTCAATGCATTTCTTATTTAATCCTCCCAGTTAATCTGTGAGCCAGCTGTTACTGGCCCATTTTACAGATGAGGACACTGAAAACTCAGAAAGGTTAAGTTCTACTTAACCTTTGCTGGAAAGTAGGAGAGCTGGGATTGAACTCCATGTCTGAGAGCACAAAGCCTGTATCTTCCCAATAAGTCAGGCTTGAGCAGACCTATGTACCACCCTCTTGAGAAGATCTACTTTTTTTTCTTTTAATATCTATAAGCCTTTTGCCACCATCCAGAGAGAGCATGCATTTCTTTATAAAGAGCAGAGGCTTGTACTTGTACAGTTTTAGATTTCTTACAACACTTTTGCTCTTAGTAGGTGAAAAGTGTTATTTGATTTGATGGATACGTCCTGTAAGATATGGGTTCCAATGGGACTCAGAGCAATATCATAACACCTTTAAAACCTTTCAACAAACCTGGCATCATAGGTACTTAGAAGGCATAGTATGGACATATAGCCCCAACAGAGGCATAGTTAGGTGTTGGCGGAAAAGTGTCAGTTACAAGTAAGCCCATAAAATAACTTTATTTCTAACCCACCATTATTATATAAGAAAAAAACTGAATGCTAAACTCCATTTACATCATGCCAAGCTGAATTATTTCATAGTGTGCATGTTACATACTTGCCATTTGTAGCAAGTAAATTTATGTTCAAAGCTTTTGACTTAACACTGTTTGCACATTTCTGTTTCTTTACATGGTTTGCAAACTTGGATTTTACTAGGTAACTCTTGTTATGTTGTAATTGACTTAAGCAGTTTTCTACTCTTGCTACTTGTGTTGTTTCTAAAATTTTTTTTGTATTTAAAGTATTAGCACTTAATTCATTGCTAAAACAATCTTTGTAAAGTTTTTGGGTGGAATCACAGTTTTAAAGGTCATGAAAATTAAGAATAGTGTGTATAATACAAATTGCTTGATAGTTTTCCAGAAAATGATTTCAGTGTGCCCAGCAAGTTATCTAAGCAGTGTTTCAAACACTTTTTTTCTTAAAAAAATTTTTTTGTTTATCTTTACCAGTAGGTGAATAATTAATGAAAGTTATTTAATGTTGTTTTTTAGCCCCCTGACCCCAGTGGTGGTGCTGAGGATTGAACCCAAGACCTTACGTGCTAGGCACTACTCTGCCACTGAGCTAAACTCCCAGCCCCTACTCTCATGTTTTTGACTAGAAACAACAGATGTTGCTGAAAATGTCTTCCTTAAAATAGTCAATTTTGAGAAAGAATGTAAAGTTGAGGTGGTGTAGCCTGAGAGAGGAAGAAGATGGACTATTCTGGCAGTTAGGAGGTGGTGACATGGGAGAATCTATTGAGACAGGGGCAGAAAAGGCAAAGGCAAGAGAAACAAGCTCTGCATATAAACAGGCTGGATAAGGTCTACTGGAGGTTACAGAACATGAAAAGCATGGTGGTGAGGGTGGAACTGAGATAAATGGTGAAGGAAGACCAAGAGAGTGGAAAATAAACACTGAGAAGTAGAGTAGCTGTGGGAAAAGGAAGAATTTAGGCCATGGGGATCCCCCACAGAAGTGCTGGCTTCCTTTGTATCCTTGAAAGTGGACAGACAAGGATGCTGGTTAGAAAACGGTCAGCGATACATGAATGTGTTAGCCTTAGTGTTCTTTCAGTAATGAATTCTAACCCTAAAACCAAATATACCTTCTTGTTCTTTAATTATTGTGGTGAGTATGAATGAAAAATAATATGTAACGTATTGTTTTCTTTTTCTTACCAGAAGGTGGATTTTTCCTGCAACCAAATTTCTGAAATGTGTGATTTGTCAGCATACCATTCTCTCACCAAACTAATTTTGGACAGTATCCTTTGAATAAAGGGGGTAACTCAATTAACAGTTCCAACAAAGAATGTATACCAGATTACATGAAATAGTAACAGATAGACATTGTATTAGAATTGTCTCATTGAAATGATTAAGAATTGATAGTCACAAAATAAGGAAAGATTTTTTACTGTACCAAGAAATAAAACTGTAATTCAAAGCTTGCCAAAAGCATCTTACTCTTCAAAAGCTAAGTAAGATAATCCTTTTTCTAATAAATGAAGGATTCTTCTTAATCTGGAACTAGAGAAGTTGTTTTAGTTTACTTGTTAAAATCTACTTTATCTTGTCCCCTATTTTATATAAATTCAGCATTTAAAAATTCAGCTATTTATCCAAAGCAAAGTTATGATTATTGTACAAAATAATTCACACTAAGTTTCCTTTAAAAAAGCTAACCTTTCTTGTTTGTTTGTCTGTTTTTGTGGTGATGGTGATTGAACCCAAGGGTTTGAGTATGCTGATAAGTGCTCTACCACTGATCTATACCACCAGCCTCTATATTAGATTTAAAACATTCTTTCAGTAAAAAAAAGGCCAAAATCAACTTTTGATTTGCAGCCAACTTTGGAAATATATGTCTTGCATAAAGAAGGCCCCAATGTATACAGAGTATCTACTTTAAAGTCACCTTCAACCACCAGGGTGTAAGGGGTTCATTGGAGACCTATGAGTTTAATGAGATTGCCTCTCATCTTTACACCAGAGACTGATGTTCTCTGGGCAATACAGGAGGAGGACCTTCTCTTCCTCAGTAAGTATCTTCTATTCACCTGAGGTTTTGAGCAGGGGCAGGATGGAGAATGAATTGATTGCCCCTGGTGCCTCATTCCAGGGATGTGGTAGCAGCTTGTTTGTGAAGCAGCTGAGATCGCAGAAGGTACATTTCCTTGAAGACGTATTTTGTAGAGATAATTCATTCTCATATAATGGAGTGATAGAACCTAGTCCCACTCCCTTTAGAACCTATATGTGAAAATGTCCAATCGGTAGGCATTTAGACAGAGCTTTTGTGATGAGCAGCTATTCCTGATAGTAGCCTAATAGAGCAATCAGATGATGATCCAACTGAAATGTTCTGATGACAAACTAGAAGTTCACACACACTAGTGAGATCTTTCCATAGAACAATCGTGTGCAGTAACTGCAAAGAGATGGAGCTTGAGAGCTCAGAAGCCATCTGGCTCAAAATCTCATCTCAGGCCACATGGAAGACACCAGCAGCAGTAGCACCACCTGAAATTTCCTAGAAGTGCAGATTCTTGGGCTCTATGCCAGACCTATGTAACCACAAATTGTATTTAAACAAGATGCAGACCTTTCAAATGCATTTAAAGCCTCAGAAGCCCTGGAGTCAGCTGCCCTCTAAACTGCTGGCTACCGGAAGGGCACTCAGCATCCAGAGTCCCTTCTTGTCCTTCAGGGTCCAGACATGGTAGCATGGAGTTTTCTATGGGAAGAGCTGTCCCCCAGAAAAACATTCTTCTGTGTGCAGACTGGAATTGCCAAAGAAAATAACTTTCTAGTGTTCTAGATTCAAAATGGGGAATACGGTTTAAAACATTTCTATCATGAGAATCTTAATCTCTATATAAATTTAGCTTTCTGTATAAAAATGTATTTTTTTTTGGTACTGGGGATCAAACTCGGGACCTTGTAAAAATGTATTGTGACTTTGAAAATTTAAATATCATAAAGGAATTTTATTTTATTTTTTGCAGTGTTGGGATCGAACCTAGGGTCACACTGGTGCACACTGGGTAAATGCTCTTCTGTTGAGTTACATCCCCAGTCCTGTTTATTTTTTATGTTGAGACAGGGTCTGACTAAGTTGCCCAGGCTGACCTCAAACTTATCCTCCTGCCTCTACCTCCTGAGTAGCTGGGGTTATAAATGTTGACCATTGTGCCTGGCTATTTTTTAAAACTTGACATTAGATATAGCAGTTGAGGCTTATCAGTGAAGTATGAAAAGCTGTAATTATACACCGGAACGAACTGAAATTCAGCATGTGTGTGTATAATTAGAGTGTAACAGTGGCGTCATTACTCACCTGTGTTTGAAAAAAAGCGCAAGAACAAGTAGCCAAAGCAATCTACTCTTTGTGGGCTATTGATGAAGTAAATTCGGATGTCTTACAGTTTTGAAAAGATTGTAGGCTTGTTTCTAAGAGTATTAGATATGCCTCTTTCTCTTTTGTTCCTTTTGATCAAATATTGTGCATGATGTAGGCAGTGGAGTTTTATGAGTTTTTCTGAACAGCTGGAAGTAAAAAATAGCTGATAAGATTATAAATTAATCTCTTTGGAGGAAAAAAGCACAATATTAGATTACTTTCAAAAGGATAAAATGCTTTGAGATTAAAAAAATGGGGATTTTAAACCAAGTTTTATGTTAGTACATTTGAAAACTTGGATGAAATAGACAAATTTCTATAAAAACATTATGCAGAAAAGCATTGGTTTGAAAATAGAAACCTTGAGTAGTCCTATTAAGTTACTCATCCCAAATTAAAATGAACTTAATGTATTAAAATCATTCTACCAAAATAAAGCAAAATAAAACCCATCAGACCCGAACTTTCCAAGAATACTTTCTGATAATCAAAAAAGTCTTTCATTAAAAATAGGCATACTCATGGCTCATTCTGAGGAAGTTCATTGATATTTAAACCAGACAAGGAACTGTAAGAGAAAAGAAAAGGACAGGTTTATTTCACTCGTAGTACAGCATAAGTTTAAAAATCCTAAATAATAGCAATGGATCTGACAGTATATCAAAAAGATGATTTATTATGATCAAATTGGGTTCATCTCAGAATGTAAGGGTAAATTGGAAAATCTAGAAATGTCATTTACAACATTAACAATTCAAGGAAAATAAATCTTGGTATCTTTAGCTAAAGAAGCTGAATAGATATGTAAAATTTAATAAAATCCAGCACTCATTTACAATAAAACTCTCAGTCGTAGGGTGTTTTCTCTATTTGATAATGTGTACAAAAGTGTTAAAGAAACTTTATCCAAATTTGGGATATGTTCTAAGCATTTTCCTTTGAAGTCTGGAATAAGGGAAAGGATTTCTACGATTGTTACTTCTACTCATTGCTTTGGAGGTCTCATCACCATAACCAAGAGAAAGAAACAGAGGTGCAGTATAAGATTGGTATGGAGAAAATAAAAGCCATTCTTTGCAAAATCAACAAAGAATATAAAAAAGAACTTGCACTAGAAGCAATAGAATTTTGAGAGGTCAGCAAGGGGGATGGACATAAATTTAATACATGGAAGTCAATTGTATGTCTTTACACAAAAAACAAGCGACACCATTTATAAGAGCAGCAAACATAATTTTTTGTGGAGGAGGGGGAGTATTGGGGATTGGACTAAGAGCCTTCACACTAAGCTACATACATGGCGTTCATTCATTCATTTATAGACAGGCTCTTGCTAAATTGTAGTCTGGGCACAAATTTGTGATCCTTCTGCCTCAGCCTCTCAGAGTATGTGTCTCCCCGCCCAACTAACAAACATAAATCTTATTAAGGATCAATAAGTCCTGGGGAAGGAGGAAATCATAAATACTGAAGGGTATTGAATTCTAGTTAAGGAGAAATATATCTGAAGTTTCTAGATAACAAGATGCACAAAGATGTAAAAAGAATGTTACAAAAAATCAGATAAAGCTAATAAACATATGAAGAGATATCAGTCTCATTTGCTTTCAGAGAAATGCAGCTCAAGACCACATGAGGTACTCTATCACATCCGTTCCAGTGACAGAATTTAAGATAACTAAAAATACCAATTGTTGGAGAACATATTGGTGCAAGAAGGCTCTCTTTTTACTTTGTTTGTGTGTATGAAATTTGTTCAACCGCTTTAGAAAACAATTTTATATTATCTTTTAAAGTTAAGTATCTAAATTCACTATAACCTAGCACTTTCATTTCTGCAAAAGAAAAGTTTAGCAAATATGCACTGGGATGCTTGTGTCAGAATCTTCTTAGTGTTATTGCTGATAATAGCAAAAACTTGAATCAGCACAGCCCAATCATTTATTTAGAGAAAACATAAGTTTTGCTATTGTCACAGAGCAGTATGTCATATAGTTGTGAAAGTGAGTGAAATGTACATACATGCAGCAAAAAGCATGAATCTTAATAAAAAATATAATTTAGGTATAAACCTAATGGAAGAGGGAAGAAGGAAGAGACAGTTCAGCATAGTGATTATCTCTGAGAGGCAGACATAAGGATTTGACAGGAGAGGTGTGCAGAGGCAGATTTACATTGTTGCCAATGTTCTACCTCTTGTTTTGGGGTGAGGAATAGTTGCAAGAATGTTGTGTGTGTGTGTGTGCGCGCGCGTGTGTGCCTGTGCCTGTGCATGCATGTTTTGGTGTGGTGCTAGAGGTTGAATCCAGGGCCTTGTACATGCTAGGCAAGTGCTCTTCCACTGAGCTAAACCCCTAGTTCCCATTATACTGTTAAAAGTAAACAAAAGCGTGGGCGGGGGATTTAGCTCAGTGGTTTCACCACCTGCTGTGCAAGCGGAAGGACCCACGTTCAATCCCCAGTACCAAAAAAAAAAAAAAAAAAAAGTAAACAAAAGCAGCTGGTGCATGGGCCAATATTATTTAAGAATTCAGTTTAACTCAGTTCTATATAAGAATTTTAAAACTTAAAAGTTCTGAATTGATTTCTTTGAAAATAATCAGTTAATCAAACTAATAATACTGAAAGTGTGATTATAGATTATAATACTACCCCAGAAAGAATTATTAATTATAAGGTATAAATTTTTTAGTTTATCTCATCAGGCTATTTTATTCTTCTCTATGTGGACAACTGATAATTAATAATCATCCAAAATTGCAAAATGATCAACTTTGCTTAGGTAAATATCTTTGTTGCTAGGTAAAAATGAAGTTTATTTTTTACCTATAAGTAATCATTGAGTAGTGATTGGAATGTAT